ACTTTGTTCAGTTAAACTCAGCGGGTACTTAATTGAACGCTTATGTGCAGGACACTATTATGGGTACAATGGGAGGGATTCCAGGACAAACAGGACATGGTCTTTGTCCATAGGATTGTATGAGATTAATTTCCATACACAAATAATCAAAGATGGAACCTATGGAGCGGTACAGGAGAGGCCTATACTGTACTGGAAGTATAGATATGGGAGAAATTATTTCAGAAAGTAGTGATGAGAGAAAAACGGGGCATTCAAGGGAAGGAAGCAGTGAGTGCAAAGGTCCCGTAGAATATAGGGCAGGTTTGGGAATTGGTTTATAACCCAGTTTAGCCAGAACACGGATTAAATGAAAGAGCAGAGCAGAAAATCGAGTGGGAAGTAGGTCGAGGATCTTGGCCAACAGAGTTTTTACATGAGAACAAATTATTTCTTCAAGCAAATGTTGTGCTTTTGAGTGAAAGGCTTTGAACATAGTACAAAAGAGTTTGAACTTTATTCTTTAATGAACCGTCTAGGGTTTTTGAAAAGAAGTTCTGAGTTAAGGTGTTAGTAGCTGTACCGTTTAGAGTGTAGGAGGAGGAAAGGTTTTAGTCTAGTAGGGACTAGTTAGGTGGCCTCAGTAATCTAGGCAGGAATAGGACTAAACCAGTGAGGAAGAAGGTAGAGACAAATACACATTTCAGAGGAAGAGTTGACAGTTGAGTTAGGGGAGAGAAACAAGTCCAGAATAAATCAGAAGTTTTCTACTTGTGTGACTGGGAAATTGATGGGTATCACTGATAGGAAAAGGAACAGTCAGCGGAAGAGTGGGTTTTGAATGACGGTGGCGAACTGTAGAGTGTGTAATAGATGGTGGGAGGTGCATGGGTGAGAAGTACATGTTCTACAAGTAGTGATTTTCACACTGTATTTTTAATTTTGTTTTTATTGAGGTATAATAGACATGCAGTAGGCTTTTCACCTTTTAATGTATAGTTCTATGAATTTGTGTAACCAATACCACAGTCCAGATAAGAGTCTGTCACCCTGAAAATTCCCCGGGCTCCTTTGTGGTCAGCCCCTTTCCCCTCCCCATCTACTTATGACCGCGGATCTCTTTCATGTCCCTCTAGTAAAACTGTTTTAAAGAGTCCTGGGGACCACCACAAACCCGGGCCTGATGATCAGGGGGCAGAGTGCCAAGCCCTCGGCCTTGCCCTGACTTCATCTGGACAAGTTTAACTTCTCTCACTTCTGTTTTATATGTTGGCATTCTCCTTAACATTTTGGGCGGAGAGGGGAAATTTACATAGCTAAATATTTGAAAACGCTTCTTCTGCGGTGCCACTGATACAGCTCTGTCTGAGCCACTGTTACCTCTCACCTGGGCTGTTGCGGCAGCCTCGCTGGTTTCCACGCTTTGACCTTTGCCGCCTGCTATTATCATCGCGTGATTCCTTTACAGTATAGGTCAGATCATTTCCTCCTCCTCAAAATTTTATAATGCTCCCCATTTAGTAGGGATAAAGGCAAGTCCTGAAAAATGTCCAAGAAGGCCCTGAATTCCCAGGGTCCCCTGTTCACCAGCCTGCTCTTTCCACTCCCCTCTGTGCTCGCTCTGTGCTATTGATGCTGGTCCCTTTCATTCTCAAACAGATCAGCCATGTGCTGTGCTCACTTTGGGACCTTTGCCTTATCTTTTTTTAAAAATTAAACTAAAATTCACGTAACACAAAACTAACCACTTTAAAGTGTACAACTCATGGCATTTAGTACATTCACCATATACACCGCCAGGTCATCTAGTTCCAAAACATTTTCATCCCCCTCACATGAGACACGCACCCCTTCAACAGTCACTCCCCTCCTTTGTCCCATCTCTGGCAACCGCTAATTTGCTTTCTGTTTCTATGGATTTACCTATTTCATATAAATGGGGTCGTGCAATATGTGACCTCTTGTGGCTGGCTTCCTTCACTTATAATGTTGTCAAGGCTCATTGACACTGTAGCATGCATCGGTACCTCATTCCTTTTTGTGACTAAATAATATTCCATTGTGGCTCTACCATATTTTGTTTATACATTCACTCATTCATTCATTCATTCATGAACCTTTGGGTTATTTCCTCCTTTTGGCTGTTTTGAAAGTACCGCTATGAACATTCATGTACAAGTGTGTGTTTGAATACATGCTTTCATTTCTCTTGGGTGTATATCTAGTAGCGGAATTGGTGGTAATTCTATGTTTAACTTTTTGAGGAACCGCCGAACTTTTTGCCATAGCAGCTGAACTATTTACATTCCCACCAGCATGTACCTTGGTTTTTACATCTTCAGTTCCTTTCAGTTCGTACTCAGACTTGACCTTCTCATTGAGATCTACCCCGACTGCCCCGTTTAGCCCTGTAACCTGCCCCCACCTCCACCTTCGCCTCATGAGCATTCTCCACTACACTACGTGCCTGTTTCCCTAGTGTGGTCTTTTGCAGGCACATGCATCATATTTCATTATACTCCTTACCTCTTACACACGGAAACTCTTCCTCTCCCCTAATCATAGGACTTGTTCATCTCAACAGCACACCAGACTCCTGTCACTGCAAGGGTATGTGTAATTAGCTATAGAAAAAGTAAACTTCACGTGTTCCTTAAAACTCCGGGCACAGTGGTCGAGAGCCCTGCTTTATCATCTGCTGAATTACACGGCTGCAACTTCAGGACTTGGAATTATTTTGTTGATTGGGTTTCCTTCCAGAGCTTCTCACAAGTCTAGCAAATTATACATAATTCTCATACTTTAGAAAAGCTAACTGTATTTTCCAGCCTAGCAGCATTACCCTTTATGGGTAGCTTCCTCTTTCGCCTGTAACACAACTGGAGTGTCGGTGATGGCTGTCTTTAAACTGTTTCCCCGAGTCTCTCTAGTCAGAGAAAGAGCGAGAGAATGTATCTCAAGAGATTTGTGCTTAGCTACCTAACTCCTAGCCCACCAGGCCTCGGGGTAATCTCACCAACACGGGCGTGCAGGCTGAGGTCTAGGCTCCAGCACTCTGCACACCCCGAACCCGCCTTCAGATGTGGTTGGGGCGGCGGGAGGATCAACTTTAACCTTCAGTTTATAACTTCCTTTTAAATAGGTTTCCTGGCATGACTGTCTGTTCTTAAAAGCTCAACATCTGATTCGCTCGTTTTCCTTTATATCTTTTCCATAATGCTTTCTTTTTTTAAGACTCAGGTTTAAGAACCAATTGAGACCAATTGTCTTTCCAAAGACATTCAGTGCTCTTATTGCCAGTGTGCTGAAGATACAGCTCGTCTCAGTAGTGCAATGATAACTGTGCCCAGGGCTGGCTTGGCAGGAAAACTTTTTAAATATTTTGAGGTTCTGAAGTAAGAGATAAAAGTTTTGGTTGTGGTGTTTGAGTGTTCTTTCTGTCAAATCCAGATCTCAAAATACGACTTAAAGATAGTTAATATGGTTGATGAAAAGGGAACAGAATTGATAGGAAAAAAGTTTAGAAAATTCCTCGTGTTATGGAAACAGGGCAAGACCAAGAACTGATTAATGCCTCCCAGCTCAAAATGTGGCCTCGGTTGTAGTCTGCTTTTTGGAAAGCAGGAGAGGAGGCAGGAATTGGTGGGCCTGTTCCTTCAAGGATGTTTGTAACATATTGACAAGGTTCCCCCTACCCTACTCAACAGAGAGCGCACTTAATCAGAACAAGAAGAAACCCGTTTTTATCATTTTTTTAAAGTTCATTTCATGGTTCCAATACCTTTTTCATGCTGTTTGAGTACCTAGTTCTTTAAAACACAGCAGTGAATTGAGAGGTGATAGGTAGGAAGACAGAATTAATCTCTTTGTTCTCTTTGTTCCCAGAGATTCTTCATAATTTTGCCTTGTGATCTGTGCCTATTTCTGATTCTCACACTAGACACAGATCAACTGATACTCTTTATATTTTCTCATAATACCTTGTTGTAGCAGGTCCACACTAAGACTAGGATGAAAGAAAATACCAGAGGCCACGAGAACCAACTCTATTCAGAGAAGCTCTTCTGTCCCCCATCAACAAAGCAGTTGAGAAAATCAGTCCTTATAATACAATAAAATCTCCTTAAACACTCTAGTTTCGTGATTCTGGGGGAAATTATATAGAAATTTGTGGGGGATTTTGTTTGTTTCTTGCTGTTTTTTGTCTGTAGGACACAGACTAAAGTTCCAGTTACTTGACTTTGATGAGATGAGTTGCAGGAAACGTGAAACGTAATGCACCGTGGCTGTTTTTCTGGAGTGATCTTTCTTTAGCAGAAGCAGACCTTGGGAAGATTGGTTTCCAGATAGCCGTGTACTAATAGGTAGAAACAGAAATGACTATGAAAACCAGATGTTGTGTCTGGGCTTCGCTTCAGAAACACGGTTTCAGGGCTGGCATATTTCATTTCTCGCTTGTTTACCCACACTGATTAAAGGGCCTTTATCTGGTGGTGTGCACAATTGCTGAGTGCAGCACTCATTTGCATGCTCCTACCATCATGGTTTCTACACAACATGATATTTCTGTTGGCAATTTAAGTTTATTACTTCAGAAATTGTCAGAGTGGAAATCCAGGATGTGAGCAATATTTATTTTTATTTAAAATTACTAGGGGGATTTGTTAGACAATACCTCGTTTCCTGACATTGGCAAGAGGCTGTACAGAGTTTCCCCCTAATTTTCAGGGACATATTTGTATTACATGTACATCTTAGCTTGTTATTATTGTAAGATTCTATTTGCTTTAATTTAGAAAATTTCAGGCTTATTTTATTTTGTCTTTACAGAACTCTAAGCTCTTCTCCTTTGAAAATATCCAAAAGGCCTTATTTGTGGTTCGGATCCTAGACTGATTTGGTTTGTTTCAGAACATAAACCATTTAAATAAGGGGAGAGAAAGAATTGATGATACAGTTTAACTTTGCTCTGGTTTAACACTGTGCAGCCTAACTCTTGTTGTGGTCTGCCTTTCCCACAGGTTCACATCCAGCTCTCGGAGTGGCACCGAGCCATTTTCCTCCCTCAGGCATGGCTGGCATATATGAGTCGAGCTTATCATGCCATTTTACAGGTAACGAAACCATAGGACGGCTTGCTTCCGGGGAGCGTCGCCTTATCTCAGACTTCACTGCAAATATGTATTAATATAAAAACACTTGGGAAAATAGCGACGTAAAAATGCATTGGTTAGATTTGCTGATAAAAGAATGGAACACACAAATGTGTATAATGCATTTAAATTTTAAATGCTGATTCCCGCCAACCTGTGTGCTGCCCGGAGCCCCCCCGAGTGCTACCCTTCTACACCCGCTGCCTTCCGAACACCCCCAGCTGCCCCACAGCACCTCAGGCTGAGCGCGGCCCGGTCCGAGCGCGTCGTTGGCCCTGCCTCTTCCAGCTGGACTGGCTGGCCCCCCGAGCCTTGTCTTACCGCCCTTCCTCCGAATGCTGTTTCAGCCTTGCTGAATTCTTTGCTTTTCTCCTCGGCATATTTCCCCTGATCTCTTGACACTTACACAGTGCGTTCTGGTGCATGTACTGCCGTTCCCTCTTCGCCCACCTAATTCCTACCTGTTCTTCAGATCGTTTTGTCTGGGAAGGCACCAGCGTGCCTCTCCCGCCCTTCGCTGCACCGCACGCTGCTCCTGCGTGCCTCCTTGGAATCCATGCCGCTGCTTGTGAAGCCTTGGCCGCCTTAGTTACTCGCCTGGGGCCTGCCTCCTGTTGCCTCTGCTCCTTAGAGCTAGGAGGTCTGTTTTCTTCTCTGTTGTCTCTAGAGTCTGACCTAGTGTCTGAAACATAATAGGCATTCACTAAATAAACGAAGTATACTCAATTTGACTTCCTTTAATCCAATATTATAAGTTATAGTTTGTGGATATGTAATATTAAAAATAATTCTTAATCAGTTTGGGAATATATGAACAGTTAACAAGAAAACAACTAATAATTCTTTTTCTTAGCTTAGAATTTATTTTTCAGGATGATAGAAAAAAACAATCTGATGGTACTCAAGTAATTTTTGGCCCAGAATGAGATTTTCATGGAGTGTCAGGTGTTATGGTTAAAGGTAACAGCTGTCCTAAAAGGTGGCGGTGGTGGTAGTGAGAGTGTGTGTGTGTGTGTGTGTGTGTGTGTGTGTGTGTGTGTGTGTAGGAAAGGCGGGTGGGAGGAATGACTGAGCATCTGAGCATTGTTCTCATCTTACCTGTTGCAGCATATTTTATTGAGTCTAGAATTTATAAAGTACTGATGCATCTTCAAAGATTCCTATTCATTAGAACTGAGTAGGGGACCAGGAATCTCCATGTTTACCAAGCTGCCAGGTAATTTTAACACAGTCTGTCAACCGCACTCTGAGCAACCGTGTTTAGAGGGGCCCCAGACCACACTGGAGTCCACATTTTAAAAATGTTTCCTTGGAACAACTGTTTCCTGTTACGTCCTTTTTTATCCCCAGCTGCATGTAGACACTCAGTTTTGAATAGATGCCTTCCTCATACACACTCTTGACCAGTTATGGTTTTTATTTGAGATGAGTGAAATTACAAGTCAGAGTGTGCACTTTTTCTCACATTTATTTTTCCCTATGTAATTTCTCAGTGTTTTCCTTCACCAAATATTTATGGAGTACTTTTTCCTGGCCAGGCCCTGTGCCGGGGTGTGGGACACAGTGGGGAATAAAGCTGTCCTTCCTCTCGGCGAGCTCCCAGTCCAGCGCCGGAGACCAACATGTCCATGGGCAATTCCAGTACAGCATCTGCAGTGCTTTAATAGAGGGTGTAAAAAGTACCACAGGGCCTGGAGAAAGCAAGAAAAGCTCCTCCACCTGCAGAATGAACTGAGGGTTGTATTTAGCTCTTACCATAAGGAAGCTAAATGGAACGGGATTACGGTATAACTGGTGCAGATGACTTGCAATTGATTAAAAATAACCCAAAAACCTCCATGGTTGTTTTTATAGTAAGAGATGACATTTATTGAATAATTAGTGTGTGTCTAATATTTATCATATATGATTTCAATCAATCTTTACAGAAACCCTTTGAAGCAGATGTTTCAACCCCACATATAACGGGATTATAAAGGGAAAACCAGGGTCAGCCAGGAAAGCAAAGCAAGTGGTGCAGAACCTGACAGTCAGTAAATGAAAGAACTGCAAATTAACTGGAATATTCTTTACTCCAGAACCTCAGCCTTTCCCACTGCATCACACATTTTCCCTAACACATAATGCCGCGTACTAGTGGTAACAACAAATAATGCAAATTGCTTTAATATTTTAAAAGACAGATCTATTTTTGAAAAGCCAGCCAAGTACTTTTAGTAATGCAGGTGAATTATCCTGCTTTCCTACTGTTGTGATAGTGTGCGTCTTTGTTTATTTATCATTGAAAAGGTCTTTACTCTGGATTTTGAATAAGTCCAGTTCCATTGAGAATTGGTGGCAAAAGTGAAAAAGTGTCACTATAAGATTTTCAGAGTTATTTGAAAGTACAACAGTGCTTTTTAGGCTGTCACTGTGAGTTGAAAGCACACTGATGCCCTTTAACAGTCCAGCAAGTTTTGTAAATGGCTCCAGCACACCAATAGAATCTGTGGTATCTCAGAAGAATTAGACTCCTTGTCCATGTCAAGAATTCTGTCCTGGAAGCTACTTCTTCTGCACAGTAGTTATAGCTACTTCCCATCTGGTGGGAGACACATTCTGTAGCACTAAACTAGAGGATCATTCTGAGGAGCCACAATTTATTCAATTAAACCTAGGAGACACGCCAAAGGGTACATTCTACATTATTTCCTGCGGGTTGATTTTGATGTGAATAAGTTTGCAATCTGAACACTACAAGTAGCTTTGCTTAGATGTCTGCTTTGAGCTTTGTCTAATTTTTCCACAAGATGTGGGATTTGGAATCATAAGCATATCTTAAGTGCTTGACACGGTGAGGAATTTGGATTTCTCCTCATTAAGATGAAAAATGCAGATACAAGTTGATGGAGAGCTCAGAGTCGGTTTTAATAAGGTTCCCTTTACGGCCGTCTTTGCCTTGCTGCCCTTGTGGGATGCTGAGGAAGTGAGGCCTGCAGCTTTTGTGGAAAGGGCTCTTAGGCATTTGAATATGACCCCAAACAGGAGAGAGGAATTAAAGCAGGTTGACTGCAGACACTTGTGTCCTGTGTTGGTCAGCTAGCTGCAGGATAATCTGAAATCAAAACCAGGGTCAGGAACTGTGACCCACAGTGATGTACTCTCTCACTCTTTATAAGGGTTGTTTGTTTGTTTGTTTTTAATGTATAGGTTTGGAGCCAGGGGAAATTGCTCACTATAATCAGCAAGCTCTTGGTTACATAGGCTGGAATTTTATTTTTAAAGTAAGTGGGATCGATAGATTAATAATTGGAATCTCCAGGCAATCCAGAACTCTCCATTCAGGTGATCATTTCAGCCTTTTTTCCCCCATGAGTGCTTTCCAGCCTTAATCGTAGCTGTTAACCAGAAGCAGAGGTGAGGAGCTGAATGCCACTGCGGCTCTGTTTCCAGCAGGCAGAGAATTGGAAGGCAGAGGACATCTGGATAAAGAGCCTAACGTGGGCTGGGTGGAAGGGTTAGGGACATTCCAGAAGAGGGGGCTGAGAGGAACAGAGACTCTGAGGAAGAAAAAAAGACTTGGTCACAATAGAATGGTTGTGCTAGTTCATGGCTACAGGAGAGAGTAGGAAAATAGGCCTTCTTGAGAGGCTGCCTGTGTTCTAGCTTTATTGTTTTGTTTATTGCTAAACAGACTTTAACCTTTTAACTTCCTATTTCCTGTCTTTTTTTGAAAAGCATTATGTAAAGTACATGTTTTAGGAAGACAGAGGCAAAATTTAAGCAGCATAACAAGTCAAGACAGGCAATAAAAATTATTTTCTATTTTGCCTGCCCTTCTAGGAGGCCAATATCAGCATTAAATATTAATATCAGTCCCTTGCCAGTTTGGTCACCTTTGATACCTGGCTCTAAGAGAAAGGGGGGAAAGTGGAAGGGCCAGGATTCTATCTTTGAGCACAGGGAGATGGGCATGGATATGACTGAAGTAACATGAAGCTGAAGGATGTGACTAGAACACCCCCCAAATCTCAGGGTGCCTGGACTGGTGAGCCCAGGCTCTGTGCTGGAGGCTGCGCTGTGTCCAGGACTCCTGAGACTGATGCAGCAGTCCTTGCTCTCAGTGAGCTCTCAGGCCAGTAACCGAGAGTACTGGAAAGAAATAGAAGGGCATGCAACTGGATGTTACATTTTTGGGAACCTTTTACTCTAGGAGAGAATACAGATGAAAATATGAGTTATTTTACAAAGGATCTCGATATATTCATGACAGAATGTTTTGTAAGAAGATTATAAGAGGAGGTGGGATTTTTGTTGTTGTTCCTGACAACAAACCTGGTAATGGTAGCTATTATTTGTTATTAGGCACTGCATTAAATAGACAGTTTTCCACATTATTTAATATGATGCTCTAATACCGTGAGATAGTTCTGAGCTACATTTTACAAATGAGGGAGCTGAAGCTTAGGGAAGTGAATTAACGTGACCAACTTTACACTTCAAGTAAGTGGACGTGGCATTAGATTGTGATTGCAGAGTTCACGCTCAACTCGTGAAGCTATATTGCTCCCTCTCTCGGGAATATAGAGAGACATATACTTTTCTTCTGTAAAACACCTCAGAACTGTGTAATCAAAGATAACCAATAGGAAAATGGACAGAATAGGAAACCCACATAGCCAATAAATGTTTGAAAAGATGCGCACTCTGATTAGTAAACAGTAAAACGAACATGCAAACCGCAGTGAGCCCCGTGTCATACCCGCAACAAATGGTCCACAACAAAAAGCCTGACGCTTCCAAATGTGAGGATGCGAGGTAACTAGACCTCTTAGTGCTGGTGAGACCGTGGGCTGCCCAGCCGCTCCTGACAGTGGTTTGGTATTACCCAGGAATACAATATGCAGCCTGAGTTCTCAGTGTAGGCTCATCAATAAACCAGTGTCTTAATCACGTTTAAATAATGGAGCTGGTGATGGAGCAGAGGGGAAAGCATCTGACCAAAATAATTCTGAGTGTAAACAGAGCATAATCAATACTTGAAGGTCTTGGTTTTAAAGGGATGACATTAGCTATATTTTTATTATATGGTAGAGGTTGAGAATTATAATATCTATTTTTATATGTTCACTCAAGAAATAGAGATGTTAATGTACAGATGTTTGAGAATAACTTTTGTTATATATTATCTGAATCTTAAATGTTACATAGCGTCCTGCCCACAGCCTACCATTCTGTTATGATACTGGTACCCAGACCCCAACCTTGGGACAGTGTCAGGTGGAATTATTAGCTGTTGACACAGGTTGATCATTACTATAGAGGAGATTTTTTTAATGGGACCTATGAAATTAAACTCTGCTTTTAATAGAGATCCCAGAATGAAGCGCTCTGCCTCAGTCTGCCAAGCATACAGCTTCTGGATATACTTATTTGGTGAATGTGGAAATATCTGAGCGGTGCTGTAATTAACTCTCATACGTGCTCATTCATAATTTAATAACCTATCAGGAACACTTAAGATAAACTGGGAAAGGACACATCTGTTGTTTATAAGTGTTTTCTAAGGAAATTTTAAGATACTTTTGGCCATATCAGCGTGTCATTCTCGCTGTGTGTTTTACAGGGGAGGGTGGCGGAGCTGGAGCTGCAGCTGAAGCATGGAAAAGAAGGCGCCGAGGAGGTGCAGTGCAAAAAAAACACAGCCTGGCTCTGGTAAGGGGATGGTTCCCTGATGTCATGGGCACGAACTGTGGGGAGGTGACTACTTCAAAGGCTTTCATGTTGGGGGTTTTAACTTCTATATGAGCCTGGAGGGGAAATACTGAAGACTTGATCGCTGTATTTTTCATCTCCTTGGACATAAGGAGAGCTTTATTCATGAATTTTATGTTTTTTATTGTTTTCTAAAGCAGTGTGGAAATGGTTTGCTTTCTCCTTTTTAACTGATTATTTTCTATGCTTTTTAATGAAATGTCCTGTTTTTCTCCACTTAATTCATTGCTTCCTAACTTACATTTAGTCAAGAAATACCCTTGCACTCCCCTGCTCCTCCCTCCCCAAGACAGCCTCATTATCGGGAGCAGCTTCAGCAGACGCCCCCTAGCGAATTCCCTCCGTGTCACCTGGAAGTGTGTATGTGCGGGCACATTAAAAGCAATTTACAGTTACGTGGGTTGGGATGAATACCTTGACAGATTAATGTTGCAGCAACTGAAATCTAAGTAAAGTGCCCAGAATCTAAATAGCTTTGCCTGCAGCCACAGGTTTCTTTAATCCAAAAATCTGTTCAAAGGTTACTGGATTTTAGATTTTTATTTACTGACAATTGGCATATGTAGAAAAGCAGAAGCTGTGTGTGTGTGTGTGTGTGTGTGTGTGTGTGTGTGTGTGTACGTATGTGCATGTGGGTGTTTGACTAATTCTATTCTAAGGTTCATTTTCTAGATTTATTTTTTAAAATAGCAAAGCAGTTTAAAACGTATGATATTGGATTTGCAATTAGAGGTTAAGAATTTGGATTTTGTTCCTATTTGCTATTACCTTTTACATGTAGTTTTAATTTCATCTTCTGAAATTGATCATTTGGTGGAGGTGATATGTTTGCTCTACTCTTAAAAATATATAGAGAGAGACGTGAAATGAAGAATGTGAGAAAAGAATGGATGTCAAGGATACTGCAATATTTTAACCCTGAATGAAAGTACGGAGTTCGCATTTACTGTGATGAGAAGACAATAGAAAAAGCAGGTCTGTGTGCAGTAGGAGTCAGGTTTGGGACTTGCTGAGCTTGAGATACCTAATTAGACCTCCAACTGGAGATATCAAGTAGGCTGTTGACCGTGAGTCTAGAGTTGAGGGGTGAAGTCAGGGCTAGAAGGTACAAATTTGGGAATCATCAGCATACCGACTGCATTTAAAATCATGTTGTTGGATGTGATCACCTGGGGAGTAACTAAAGACAAAGAAAAGGCGAGAGGACTGAGCCCAGAGCATTTAGCATGTAGAAATAGAGAAGATGAAGGAGGAACCAATAAAGCACATGAAATTAGGAAGAAAACCAAGAGAGCACAGACTCCTAAAAGCCAAGGGAAGAAAGTGTTTCCCGAAAGAAACAATCAGTCGTGTCCATTGCTGCTGCTGCGCGGTCGGTCTCAAAAGGTGGAGACTGAGATTCAGGAATTCGGTTTGGCTCTTGAAAGTCATTGGTGGTCACGGCAGCAGCGGCTCTTGTGGAGTTGTGGGGACAAAGCCAGGTTATAGAAGGGTCTAGAGAGAGCAGAAGGAGATGAACCAGTCAAGTATAGACTATTTTAAACGAGTTCCTTCCAATGTATGAGAAGCAGCTAAATGGGACAATAGTTGGAGGGCTCTTATTTTAAGACGGTAGATATTTCAGTATGTTCACATGCCAAGGGTGGGTAATACAAGTAGAAAAGGAAAAATCGGTGATGCGGCAGAGGAGAGACATGTAAAAGGAGGGATATGGTCTGCAAGTGGGAGGTTTGGCCATACATGGAAGTAAGTGTAAGCAGGTCATCATTTGTAAATATCCCGCACTGACCGATAAAAGACTGCATTAACTGTACCGCTCTCCAGCCAGGCATACTGAGATTGAGTGATTTAGAGTATTGATTGTCAAATGATTTTATAAAATACAAGTTAAGGGTCTATAGGAACAGTTTGCAAATGACTGAAAAACTTGGCTCTTAAGAATGACATTCTCAGAGTGCTGAATAGCTAAGATTTTATTAGATTTCAAATGAAAATATTTATGAATGCAAATATAACTTATATTTGCAAAAGTGTCATAATATTTATATAAACTGAATTTATGAAACTCAGAGTGTATAGTGAAAATGTCAATATCCTCTTCAGCATATGAACTTGGCAGTCAGTGATTGCTTTTCACTTCATCTCAAGGCTCTTACGTGCTGAAATTTTTTTAATTCTGTGAATATTTGAATTGAGCATACTTCCTTCAAATTCACAAGTGTGATTATTTTGTTTTAGCTTCAGAGTGATTTTATAACCAATATTTCTAGTTTTATATGCATACATAGTGACTGTTGTCTACAATTTGTCAACGGTAAATTGCTGTTTTGGTGAACTCTTGTGCAAAAAGCAAAGCAAATGTCTTAATCAGTTCAGGCTGCTGTAACAAAAATACCATAGACTGGGTGGCTTAAGCAGCAGAAATTTATTCTCACAGTTCTGGAGGCTGGCAGCCCAAGATCAAGGTGCTGGGAGATCTGGTGCTGGTGAGGGCCTGCTTGCTGGTGTGCAGATTGCCACCTTCTCCTTGTGTCTTCACCTGGGGAAAGGGAGTTAGAAGGGGCAAGAGGAGAGAGAGAGAGAGTTCTATGGTGTCTTTTTATAAGGGCACTAATCCCATTTCTGAGGACTTCACCCTCACCACCTCCCAAAGGCCCACCTCCAAATACCATACATTGGAATTAAGATTTCAACATATGA